AAAAAAAAAAAAGAGATTTCTTTGTGCTCACTCTTTCTAAATGTTTACTTTGAAAATCAATCCCAAGAAGGAAATGTATTCGACGAAAGTCTTACTCTTTTCTCGGAATTCTTTTGTTTTCTTAGGAACAGGCAAATAAAAAAAGCTCTTAAAACCTTTCAAACTCGAGATATATAGATCAATTTCAAGCAAATGGAATTCAACTTTCTAGTTAAACTTGAATAATTTTTTATCTTTTTAACAATACTTTAAACCAGCCAATTTGCTCGTTAAAAAATACTAATGACGAATTAATATACACGTTATACGTACGAAAGATCAAGAATTTTTAACGAAGCAACGACAACTTTATTCCGCTTTATACTCTTCCAACTCTCAATCCTGAAAAATAAAAAATAAAATTCCGAGAATATCGATCAAAATACTAGCCGACACGTCTCCGATTTAAATAATTTTAATTCTCGTTTCGAAGCATCTTTTAGGTATCTTTTCATTCGTAAAAAAAAAAAAGAAAAAAAAACTGTTTACGGTCAAGTTCAACCACTCCATAAACCCTCTCACAAACGAGTGATACCTCACCCTGAAAATTACATTCATTCGATCCTCCAACACCTCCACCACCTCGCTTGGCCTGCACTCGTTCCAAGACGAATCTCGCATGCATCGAAACGGAAAGTAAAAGTTGATTGGATCCGCGACGCAAGTTGCAGAGCCGCGACCTTCGAGACGATGACGGCCACCGCGCGTGAGAAATCAATTAACCCGATGAATATATATTGGCTATTAGACAGTGGGCGAGCGAGAACCGAGCGCGCTTTTGCGTTAATAATGTATGACATGTTCTTGCAGTATTGCTTCGGGCGCGCGGCAATCATTTCGAGCCACTCCGCTCGCCCTCCCCGCTAATGAGATGCACCCCTCGAGAGACTTTACCATTGTTGCCCCGTAGCCGCGTTCCCGGTATCTTCCCTGACCTTCGGTCATGGGTTTGTTGTACCACCGGCCGCCGCCAGATTTCACCCTCGTAAAAGTTTGATCCCGTGATTAACAGTCGTGGAGAAGAGAGAGAACGAGGGAAAACTTGTGGAAAACTGGAGGGAGGGATTCGTGTCCTGGGGATTGCTCGCCCACCACCGGTTGCTAAAATCGTTTTCGAAGGAATTAAACCCGATTTACCAAGAGTAACGCGATTTTCTCCTGTTCGCCTCGAGGAGATTTATTTCTCGCCTCCCCTCCCTCCTTGTCAACGAGGGAGGATGTTTGTTACGCTCCCTTTCCACGCGTTCCTCGAAAGGGATGGTATTGAAGAAAAAAAAAAACGGAAGAGTAACCCGTTTTTTCGCCTCCCTTCGCCGTCTAATAAATATATCTCGCGTTATCTCGTTCGAATTTTCTTTTTTTTTTCGCCCGTGAAACGAGAAAAGAGAGCTTCTTGGGGAGGAGGGAATTGGTCGGAGGGAAATTCGTTCGATTAGATAGTAGCATTTAACTCGTTCCCTCTGGGGCTGATTGGGGGAAAAGTGAAATGCTCTGTAAACTCGAAGAGCAACACTTATCTGCATGCATTTGTTCGTTGCGTTCGAGGAACCGCGCGTCCGCCGTGGTTTCGTCGTAAAAGCAAGGCCGAGTGCTATTTTATGGCAGGTTAAATATGGTTGTCATCCTGATGATAAGTCAAACATTTCTCGAAGTCGTCAAAATGTCAACTCGTCGTCGTGTCGTCCACGACGACGCTATCTGTCCCTCCTTCGGCCGCCGCACACGGAAAAGGAAGAACCCTTCCGTTCCATAAACGTTACACGGGGAACGAAAGAATTTCAATTTTCTGCTAACACTTTATGTACTTATCGCGGCTCGTTCGCGTCTCGGGGTATTTTAAGATGTATCGTCACGCTGGAAATGGATATTTGATGAGAAAGGTAAGCAAACCGTGGCGTGGATATTTTTCACGAAAATAGCGTGACGTTACGTTGCACGGTAATAAAGTCGCTTTGTTGGGCAAGAATTTATCTCTCTTCGGAACAGACGTGATTCACGTCCTTATACGTATTCGTTTCTTGTTTTCCGTTCGAAAATGCTCCAAGTAAATAAATTAAAAGTCTAAATTTAAAATGAGCCCGAACGAGGAGTATACTTTTGGTATATCTTTAGAAAATTTCAAAGCAAAAGTTGACGTACGCAAAAATGTCAGTTTATTTATAGCGAACCGATGTTTTGAACGAAATATTTTATATTATAATGTCGCGACGAATAACACACCACCCTCTCCTCATTTACACGCAAAACTAATTTTCGCTCGATGGTATTTCTTTTTAAAATTTAAAGAATCGAGAGGGATCGCATTAAACGCAGCCTCGTCATAAAAACTAATCCCAAATGCGATCCATCGAGTTTCCAGGAATTCCGAGTATTTCATTTCCCTTATCGGCTCCTTTTTATTATCTTCCCGAACGTGGATACGAAAAAAGGTATCGTACGACCGAAATCTGCCCGAGAGCCTTGGCCGGCTATCTCAGACTCTCGTTCCTTCGTCCAATCGAGAGGGCAGCGAGCTAAGGTTTCCCAAGTTCCATTACAGCGACGAAGGATGGACCAATAGACGAATGGATAGCTTAGCGGTTCCGTTATCTGAGGAAGGGTTTTAGAGCCTAATCTGGGTTCTACGAGGATACGCCGTGTCACAGCTTCTCCGTTGTTGCACACGTACACACTCGTGTCCACGTGCACATACGCGGCGAGGAACGCCAGGTACCAAGATATCCAGGTATATCCTTAGGTCCTGCTGCCTTCGAGGACGCATTTGTCACTCCCCAACTGACATCGCCGAGACAATGCGAGATTACGAGGCCAATACGAACGTTCCATTCGAGTTCGATGCGATTTGGAGGCCAATGCGCGATCCTGGATCGGCTATCTCGTGTAAGAAAATTCGCGAAATATATATGTTCTCCTACGATGTCAATCGTGTCTTTGGTAAGAGTTAAGTGCAGGATATCTTTCGTTATTGTCGTTTTATTATCGAATGGAATGTGTCTCACGTTAGATGATTTAAGAAACATCTAACAGAATCTAAAATTTAATACGTAGTTTAACTCCCTTCGAATATTTCGAAGTATTTATAATTGCATTTTTGCTTTTCGCAAAATTTCGAAATGGAAACTGATTTGATTAAACTGAAAATCAACGCGAATCCTCAGAGTCGCGTAAAAAGTTTCGATAGAAGAAAAGTTGTTAGTAAATGGGATAAAATTCCTTTCTTATATTTAGCCACCAAGTGATATTAAATTGAGAAAAACCAACAAAATCACGTAATGCTCGAATCAACCACGCTCGTGAAACAATCTTCTTCGCTCTAATTCTCTAAACGGGATACAATTTCCTTCCCCTCTTGATCCACGTTTTTCTCTCTTTCTCTCTCAACTAATCAAACGTTCCTTCCATTAAACCGCCTTTTCCTTTTCCATTCCTCCGCCAAGCCGAAAAAAAACGTCTTCGTTCGTCCGAAGAATCAAACGCGTTTCAATCATCGAAAGGAAGTTCATACAGGGACATGCCTCCATTGACCCGATCGTTGCTCGATACAATCGGCGATAACCGATGATGGAACGGCTCAAAGGGGACGAAACATCCCCTCGTCTCCCCGTTTCCAGGCGACTCTTGGAAAAGGAAACGGCGCTCCTAATCGAAAACAAAAGAGGTTTCCAAGGTTTCGATCCGTTTCGCCCTGACAAAAGAAGAAAGCAAGGGGGGAGAGGGGTGGTGTGTTCTTCTGATTAATTTCGCCTTTCCACGTCGATGTACGTAATCCGCCTAGTCACGGAAGTCTATTCGACTCCACCCTCCACAAGGTTCGACGGCCCGATGACGAGAGCATAATAACCCAAATCGCGAAGGGGGATTGAGGCGCGAGACCCTTTTCCCCTATATTTTGTCTTCGAGCATGAGAAGAAAGAAAAAGAGAGAGAGAGAGAGAGGGAGAAAGGGATTCTTGAAAAATAGGCCGACCGATTTTCCAGGAGGCACGAGGAGTCGCAAAGGACAAAGGGAGATTTTTCTAGGGTTTTTCGACTCGAAACGAGGGACAAGGAAGATCGGAAGCCGCAACGACAAGCATCGCCTTAGGGTCTATCCTAATTCCGTGGAAATCCTCCCGGTTCCGTGGGTTGATACGTTCCTTGGAAAAGAAGGGAGAGATCACGAGAGATATCACCACGTCCTTAAACGCAACGTCGAACTTTTTCAATAGGGAGCAGCGGTTTTTTTTTTCTTTTTTCTTTTTTTCTTCAGTAGCCCCGGACAAATCGGGCCTCGCCACTGTCCCAGCGTAGAAGCGTACTAGTCGTAACGATGGCTCGTTAATAATCTTGGACTCGATCCCTGGACGCAGGAGGGTGGACTCGAGTGCATCCGTGGCATTGTGAACGC